GTTAAGAATCTGCCTGCCAATGCAAGGGACATGGGTTTGATCCCTGGTCTGGGAAGAACCTACATGCTGCCGGGCAACGAAGCCCATGCACCACAAGCACTGGGCCTGTGTGCCCCGGAGCCCGTGCTCTGAAACAAGAGACGCCCCCGCAGTGAGAAGCTTCGTGCCACAACTAAATGAATAAATATGAATAAATAAATAATTAAAAAATAAAAATGAATAAAAATTTGAAAAAGAGGGGATGTATACAAACATATAGCTGTTCACTTTGCTGTACAACAGAAACCAACATAGCATCCAATAAGATGTCAATAAATACACTCCAATATGAATTAATAAAAATTAATAAGAATTAATAAAACTACTGGACTGTGTTAGTCACTTGGTCGTGTCTGACTCTTTGCGACCCCATGGACTGTAGCCTGCCAGGCTTCTCTGTCCTTGGAATTCTCCAGGCAAGAATACTGGAGTGGATTGCCATTCCATTCTCCAGAGGAACTTCCCAACCCAGGGATCGAACCCGGGTGTCCTGCCTCGCAGGCAGATTCTTTACCGTTTGAGCTACAGGGAAGTCTCCTCCATCAATGCAGGTAAGTAGTTTTGATTAGAACATTGTCTAGATCTAACAAAAGCTCAATTAATGTTAAAAAAAAAAAGAACAGGGGAGGGTTGAGGGTATCAAGAAGGAGTCTGGAGATGGGACATCCTCTCAAGGCTGTTCCAGAAAGATGGTGACAGCCTTGTTGGAGTCACGGCAGTATAAGTCGGGAAGACGAGAAGTAATGACAGACTGGTAATTGACAGGACGCGGCAGGGCCTGCAGCCAAGCCTTGGGGGTCTCCTTGTGTAAGGCCTGCCTTGCAGAGTTCTTAAGGGGATCAAATAGAGGAGGGACAGCATCCCCCTCTTTTACAGAGGAGGGCGAGAGCTGGCCAGTGACTCGCCCAAGTTCCCTCAGCGGGCACCAGGGCCAACGCCCTCGCTCTCTTTACCTGCTCTGCGGTGCATACTTGGCAAGGATGACCTTTCATGAAGCCCTGGCAGGGCAGGGAGAAGGAAGGTACTGTCTGTTCCTCCAGGCCTGCCGCAGACCTTGAGGGAGCCACAATAAATGCTGTGTTTGTTTGATAAAGCACTTGGCTTTTGGTCTCAGTAGGAGGAAGAGCTAGAACAGGTGTGGCGAGCCCAGGGCAGCCTGCAGCACAGGTGGAGGGTGGGGTGGGACAGAGCCCCAGGCTTGGTGGGGGGCTCCAGGGGCTGTGGATTTTGAAGAAATCCAAGGACTTTCTCACGACCCAACCATCTCTCTCATGTTCCCAGACTCCTAAAAAAATCTCTCTCTTTTTTTTTTTTTGTCACCAAAATCGTAAGGGTACCAGCTCACACTAATTGAGGTCTTACTGTGTGCTTCACTTTATGCTAGGTGCTTTTCATGCACACGTGAAAAGACATGCCGTCACTCCATAAATGGGTGCTGACTGCGCTGGGTGCTGCAGACAGAGGGACGCTTGGGACAGTGTCCCTGAGCTTGGGAGATGACCTTCTGTGGAGGACATTTCACAAGAAACAGAACAACGACATAGTGTAGTGCTGTGATGGGGTGAAGTTAGACTGCATGGGAACTCGGAGGATGGCTGAGCTAATTCTCTACACAGCATACTCATTTTGCAGATGAGGAAGCTGAGGCTCAGAGAGTGAACTGCCCTACTTACCTGGTCAGTTTGGTTCGGACTTATTTTCTTCTTTTTTAAAAAAATTTTTTTTAAATTTTGCTATTGGAATATAATTGCTTTATAATGTAGTGTTAGTTTCTGCTGTATGACAAAGTGGATCAGCTATATGCATACATATATCTCCTCCCTCTCAAGCCTCCCTCCCATTCCTCCAATCCCACCCCTCTGGGTCATGACTATTTTTCTTCCTCAGGAGATGATATGGATTAAAACAGGGATGGAAAAGACAAGTTAGAGGTGGGCCTTAACCCCTAATGTTGAAACGATCGGGAAACTGAGGCCCAGGAGAGAAGGGAATTGCAGTCACACAGGAAAAGATCCCACCTGACTCCCAGTCCGGTCACACCAGATATCTTTCTCTTCTCTAGTGGTCTCAAGATTTCCTGGGACCCCCCCTCATGTGGGACCCTTCCCAGCTGCACACTCGAACCTCTCTGTTTGGACTGGAAATTCCAGAATGAATAAGAAGAGGTTGAGTTAGGACAGATCCAGAAGCGAGGCAAGGACGTGTGTGCGTGTTGGGGTGGGAAGGGTACCTCACTACCCACCAGGGGAGCCCAGCCTTGGGGAGAGACTAGGGAGCCAGGGGAAGATCTGATCGGGGTCGTCTGCCTTCTGTGCCCAGCTCGGGGGTGCCAGGACGGACCACGGCGGGCTGGTTGGCTCTGAACCTGAGGCTGCATTGCAGCTGTGAGGTCTTGGGTCCAGGCTTCCCTCTCGAAGCCAGTGGTAAATGAATGACCTCGCTCCTGCCTGCAGGGCCCTCTGGGACAGAGAAGCCACCTGCTGCCTTTCGGTTCTGGCTCGGCGAAACCTGACGCCCTGGTGCCCCCGGCCAGAGACTGTGGGGGTTCAGATGTAAATCCCTTGGCCCCTTCTGCCTACACCCCAAAATCCCATCCCAGATAGGCCCAGAGAACATGTCTGCTCAGTTCCTCCTTCCCTTCTACTGCTAAGCCTCCTTCCTCTCTGACCCTTTCCCCCCGCAAAGCCCCCTCCCCTTCACTGACCCTCTTCTCTGAGTCTCTTCCCTCTCATTGCGCTCCCTCCCCTCCCTTCCCCCAACTCAACCCCCTTCCCCAGAGGCCTCCCCCTGAGGCCCCTCCCCTCTGGGTAAGTCTCCCCCCTCTCTGCACCCAGGTCCACTTCCTCCATCACCCCCTCCCCACCTTCATATTCACATCCCTCTCCCTCTTTCCTTTCCCCAGGCCAGAGGACTGGTTCCTAAAGAGGCCTGGGTTGGTTGTAATGCCAACACCAAGCCCTTTCCAGGAATCTCGTAAGAATGAACACTCTAAAGTCAGGGTGCTTTTACTGTTTACAGTAACCTATTTCCTCTTCTTCTGGTAATAAAGTAGAGTGACTTGTCAGTTGTTCCTTAATGAGAGGAGACTATTGTGGACCAATGTAAAGCATTCCAACAGGGAGGCCTGGAGTGCTGCGGTCTCTGGGGTCCCAAAGAGTCGGACAGGACTGAGTGACCGAACTGAACTGAACTGAAAGACTTCTACTGAAAAATCTGCCTGCCCCCGGGGCCTTTTGCTTTCTGCTTTGCTGCAGGTCAAGAAGTTCAAGATACAGTAACTTTGAAATTATTGTAAGCCTCCACAATCCCAAATACCTGTCCTGGGATAAATACTGTCCTTGCTCTTTTGCAAGTTGCTCTCCTGGCCTGGATGCCCCAAACCTCTAGGACGCATGGCCTGCATGTTCTGTTTTTGCTTCTCATCTCCCACCCATTTGTCTGTCCACTGTGTCTGCTGTCAGGCCTCTTGCTAAGGCCACCAGTGACCAGCTCGGTGCTCTGAATTCTCAGGCTTCTTGCCTGACGACTTCCGCAGCCTCCGACACCATTGCCAATGCCCGCCTTCTTGAAACTCTTTTTTTTTCTCTTTGGTTTCTAGACTGACCTCATCTACTTCCCTGGTTTTGGTTGCCATATGTATTCTAATAACAGCAGGTTTACCACTCCTGAGTTCCAGACTGCTATATACACCCTGTCTCTTCCTGGACGTCTCTGCCTGGAGGTCCCACAGGCTGGCCAAACTCTGTTCACTCACAGCTAAGCCCATCAACTGCCCCCAGCAACCTGGTCCTATTTTGGTAAATGGCACCACCATTCAATCACTGACCTAAGGCAAAAAATTGGGGTTAACCCAGTTTTTTCCACTCTCTCTCCCCACATACCAAATGGTACTCCAGCCCGGCTCCGGCTTATCCTGCTTCTTTCACATCGCCCCTCCACTCCCCAAATCAGGCCTGGTGCCGCCCCCCCTCTGTCCCTGCTTTATTTCTGGGCTGCATCATCTCACGTGATGACAGCTGCACAGCCTCTAAGATGGTCTCCTGCCTTCATCTCTCTACCTGAGTCTCAGCTGCAGGGCCAGCTGGAGAGGTTATTCTAGAGCGTAAATCTGATCAGGTACCTCCCTTCCATGATTCCAGTAACAGTCGAGTACAATCCAGGGTCTGTAATTCTGCATACGAGACTCCCTCCTGGTGACTTGGCCTCTCCAGGGCCCAGGGTCCCATCGCTGCTTCCTCCCTCACTTGCTATCCACCCAGTCAGGTGAAATCCCACTTTCCTGGCTCTGGACACTGGGCCCCTTTCCCACTGCCTGAACCTCCTACACCTTCTCTGAGACACAAGTGCTTCCAGGCTTGTTTACCTTAAGCATTAGAGTATCACCGGAGAGTTCTGAGTACCCCCTCCCCACTACCTACCCTTTCCTTCCCCAAGGGTTTCAGGGGAAAAAATGAGGCCTTGCTCTCATCTCTCTTCCTGGGGACACAATTCTACCCAGTTTCCTTTGGTGGTGTGTTTTACCAAAACAATAGATCTTTTTGTTCTCCTTACCCAAATATGAAATCATAGCATTGAATGTGCTCTTTCACATGCAGTAGGGCGATTCAGGCGTTGGGGAGCGCTTTGGAGGGCCGGTGTCCCAGGCCCAAACCTGGAGAAGGGGGTCCCTGACATCCCCCCACCTCCTCCATGCCCAGGAGTGCACCTGCCCGCCCCTCCGGAATGGCCCTTCCTTGTCTGAATCCCCAGTGAATAGGCCAAAGGAACAGCTAGCTAGTGAGTAGCCAGCTCAGTTTACAACTTATTGAAACTCTCTAAGCTTCATTCCGCAGCAGCTGGAGCTCAGAATTCAGCCAGGGCCAATCCTTGGGGGGCGCGAGCGGGGCAGGGGGTTGGGATGGGGGAAGTTCTGCAAGTAGGTGGAGGCCTGTCTGCGCTCAGGATAAGGAGGCGCCAGCAACTGCAAAACGAAAGGTTTTTATTGAAAAATATCAAGTGGCCCCTTTTCAAAGCTGCGGGTCCCTGCGCAAAGAGAACTTCGTGGCCACAGTCCGACTGGGCGGGCAAGTAGCGGTGGTCACCCCAGTTCCGCGCACCAGAGGGGCAAGATTTCAAAGGTTCGTGCTGGCCGGCCCTTGGGCTCCACAATCCCGTTCCCCAGGCCGAGGAGGGCTAGCTGCTGGGGAAGGGGGCGCCGGGCGGGCCCCTCCCAGTCCAGTGAGGGAGCAGCCTGGCGTCTGGGGGGCGGGGGCTGGTCTCCGATGCAAGGTTGCAGACCGACCGGTGGGCGCGCCAGCTTGTGGGAGTGGTCGGGGCTTCCCGCGGCCGCCCCATCAGACGTAGTCCTTGCGGTCGTAGGCCGTGCCGGTGCCCGTGCCGGGCGCGGTGGAGCGCGGCGCCGAGTAGACGATCTTGGTCGGCGCGAACTTGTCGCGCGGCGGGCAGGAGCAGCAGAGCAGCGCACCCCCCAGCAGCTGCAGCGCGGACGCCGCCCAACCCACGTACAGGGCGGAGCCCATCTCGCGCTTCTGAGCCTCGGGCACCAAGGGGTTGTAGAAGTCCCGGATGATGGTGTTGGCCGACCAGGACACCGGGACGAGGGTCAGCAGGGCGGCCAGCAGGAAGAGCACGCCCGCCACGATGGTGATCTTGGCCTTGGCCGTGTCGTCCTGCACACAGTTGGTGCACTGGGCGCCCACGAGCGCCACGAGGAGCCCGAAGACGGCCAGTAGGATGGCGATGACGATGAGGGCGCGGGCAGCCTGCAGGTCCTGCGGCAGCGCCAGCAGAGAGTCGTACACCTTGCACTGCATCTGGCCGGTGCTCTGCACCACGCAGTTCATCCACAGGCCCTCCCAGGTGATCTGCGCCGTGATGATGCTGCTGCCGATGAAGGCCGTCACGCGCCACATGGGCAGCGCGCAGCACACGATGGTGCACAGCCAGCCCAGCACGGCCAGCGAGGTGCCCGCGATCTCCAGGCCCATGGACATGGCTGCCGCGCCAAAGCCGGCTCTGCCGGGCGGCTCCACGTGCGGGACGACTAGGGGCCGGGGCCGCTGGGGCCTGGGCTGGAGCCGCGGTGCAGCCGACGGACTGACGCCCCGCTTGACGAACGGACGGACACAAGGACGGCGCGCGCTAACGGCTCCGCTCTGCCGGCTGGCGCAGCGGCTGCGCCTGCACCTGCCTGTGGCTTTGTAGGCGGGCGGCTGCGACTGGGCTGGCCCCTAGGAGGGGGCCGGTTAGTCTTCGATCCCGGCCCAGCGCTCCGGCGGGGGCGGGAGGGGCGGAGTCGCGCTCTCCCAGGCCTGGGGACAGTGACGTGGCCCCTCTTCTACCTTCACTAAAGCGCCCCGGGAGGAAGCACTTGACCAGGAGTGGCTCAAGGCGCCAGGGTGCGGGCTGCCGAGAGGGCGGGGCCGAGACCTGCCCCCCAGCCCCTCGTTCCTGGCCACCCCCCGCCCCAGTGCTCGGAAGGAAATTCTCCGGGGAATGGGGTTAAAAGCGCAACCTGCTTGACAGTCCACCACTCTACCCCAGCAAGGAGGCTTGGGGAGGGGGGCGCTGCCAGCCGCCCGGGATCCGCGGGGGAAGGGGCGGGCAGTGTGGGCGTGGTCATCCGCTGTGGGCGCGGCCCAGCTGTTTACCCGAGTGGGCGGCTGTCCCCGGAGCTGCGCACCTGCTCCTGGTCCCGCTGGCCTCCGAGGCAGCGCTCCCCTCTGCGCGCGCTCTCGGCCTGATCCAGGCCCAAGGGACTGCCAGTCCTGGGCGTGTGGACTCAGAAGCCGGGACAGCCCGCAAAGGCGCTCTGAAGACATCCCTGAGCCAGTGCTGAACTCAGATTCTTTAGCCCTCCGCAGTTCCCAGGTCTTCACCCTCACAGTGTCCCTGGATCCCTTTCGCTGACCTGGCCTCGCCTCCTAGAAACCCCGCACCCGCACCCTCCTCTCACAGATACCCGGTCCTAACCCCGGGGACTCAGTACCCAGATCCACCTTGCTGAAACGATGGTGAAAGACCTTTGATCCCTGCAAAGGTGGGAAGTCAGAGACATTATCTCTAGTGGCCTTGCTCCCACATCTGAGCTATCCCTCACCTTGCTTTCTGCCCTACAGAGGTGACCTTGGAGATTTTGTCCCTCTCTTCCCCTCTCCTCAGGCCCCATCCTTGCCGCGTCCTCTACAGGGACAATGGAGAGACCACATGGCCCACTCTTTCCACCTTTCAGCTTTTTGCTCCCAGCCAGGCCTTCCCCTGACCACACTATTTAAAATCACAGCTGGGAATTCCCTGACTGACCAGTGGTTAGGGCTCCAGGCTTTCACTACCATGGCCAGGGTTCAATCCCTGGTCAGCACAAGGTAAGGATTCCCCAAGCTAGGTTCCCGCAAGATTCCCCCAAGGGCCACGTGGCCAAAAAAAAATAGATAAAAATGTAAAATCGCAGCTATTCACCCCACAATGTCCTGTCCCCCTTTTATACTTTACATTCCTTTTAGCATTTCACAGTACCTGTTATTCACTTTCTGCTCTGGTATGTCAGCTCCATTGGGACATCCAGAATGCCCCCAACCAGCCAAGGGTTTCTGCTGGTTTTATTCACTGCTGTGTCTCCAGTGTCTGGAACCACGTTGGGTCCTGAAGACAAAGTTGATGTAGTGACTTTTTAAAAATTGTTTTACTTATTTGGCTGCGCACACAATCTTCTTTTCGGCAGGGGAACTCTTAGCTGTGGCATGCAGAATCTAGTTCCACAACCAGGGATTGAACCCCAGGCCCCCGCATTGGGAGTGCGGAGTCTTAGTCACTGAGCCATCAGGAAGGTCTCTGATCTAGTGACTTGAATGGAGGAAAAGCATCACTTTTTTGCCTCCCTGCAACCTTGTCTGCCCCAGGGGGGCCCCCCTCCTCCTGTCATAAATGATTGGTAATGGGATATTACCCTGTTACCTGCCTTTGGAATCTAGTAGGAACCTGGGGCACTTTGAAGTGAGAGGAGGGACCTCATGGAACCAGGCCTAGGGGTTTTTCTGTCTTGTCCCATCTCTCAAATTACAGGCCTGCACTGTGTCCTCCTCTGTGAGTGTCCTAGCCCTGGGGTGAGGTAAACAGGGCCGAGGCCCATGGAAACCAGGGTCCCACTTCTTGCAGGAGCAAAGGTCTTGGGCTGGGCCAGTTGGGGCTGGGCTGGGCAGGGCTGGGAGTGCCCGGCCAGAGGGCCCAGCTGGTGCTGGGTGGATGTTGCCCTGGAGGAAGTTCTTGAAGTCCAGTGAAGTGCTGGTTATTGGGGTGACTTTGGGGCAGAAGAGTGGCAGCGGGGGCCTAAGACCAGGTGCTTTTGTCTCAAGAGTGGGCTTCCTACTCGTTGTGCTGTGAGCTCTATCTCACATCCCCACTCCTCACCTCAGTTTCTTCTTCTGCAAAATGAGGAAACTGATGTCTACATGATCTACCTCATAGCGTTGTGATGAGTACAGAGGCAACGTGAGCATATTGCAAATTAAAAAACAACCAGGGCTGGACAAGCCAGCGTGCAGAGAAATTGCGTGGAGAAGGTGTGGGGTTTAGATGGATGGACCTGAACTGGAGTCCAGCTCCACTGTCAGCAGTCCTGTGACCTTGAGCAAGTCCTCTCCCACCTGGAGCCTCAGTTTCTTTAACTGTGAAGAGGGGTTTATCCTGAGTTGCTTGGGGTACAGGCAGGAAGAGGTGCCTTGTTCCTAAGCCTGAGTGAGGTGGACCTACTGGGCTGGGCTGGAAAGAGATGAGGCCAGAAGGACAGAGAGTTTCGTGCCCAGAGGCCAAACTTCAGGGACTCTGAAAATAAGACTTTGGCTCTGGGCAAATAGCTTCAATCAGCTTTTTGCTTAATATCATCCATGGTCCTTACAACTCAGTAATAAAAAACAAATAGCCCAATTTAAAAAAAAATACAGCCAAAAGATCTGCATAGACATTCAGAATAGACAAGGAAGATATACAAATGGTCAAGGTGCACATGAAAATTTGTCCGACACCATTAGTCATCAGGGAAACACAAATGAAAACCACGAAGAGATGCCACTTCACACCTACAAGGATGGCTAGAATCGAAAAGATGATAACAAGTGTCTCAGAGACTGTAGAGAAACTAGAACACTCCGACAAAGCTGATGGCATTGTGCAATGCTGCAGCTGCTTTTGAAAACAGTCTGGCAATTCCTCAAAAGGCAGAGTTACCTTTTGTGGTTTAGTCGCTAAGTCGTGTCTGACTTAGCATATCCGACCCCAGCACACTCAGTCTGGCCTCCTCCTCTCCCCAGTCAGCAGACTGTACTGAATTATGCCATGAACTGTAACCCGTCAGACTCCTCTGTCCATGGGATTTCCCAGGCAAGAATACTGGAGTGGGTTGCTATTTCCTTCTCCAGGGGATCTTCCCAACCAAGGATCGAACCTGCATCTCTTGCATTGGCAGGCAGATTCTTTATCACTGAGCCACCAGGGAAGCCCCCCTGGCAGAGTTATACCATATGACCCAGCAATTCCATTATTAGGTATTTACTCTAATAATGAGAAGTGGAAGATATAAAGAGAAATAAAGAATATATAAAGATATAAGGAAGAAATAAAGAGAAATGGAAACATATGTCCACCAAAGAATTCACACACGGGATTTTCCTGGTGGTCCAGTAGTTAAGAATCTGCCTGCCAGTGCAGGGGATATGGGTTCCATCCCTGGTCCGGGGAGATTCCACATGCTGCAGGGCAACAGTTTGCAGCACAACTACTGAAACTTGGGTAATCAGAGCTTCCCAACAAGAGAAGTACCTGCAACGAGAGGCCTGTGCACCCTAACAAAGGGTAGCCCCCCCACTCACCACAACTAGAGAAAGCCCACACACAGCAACGAAGCTCCAGTGCAGCCAAAAATAAAATAAATCCATTATAAAAAACAGAACCAAAAGGACTTGTGTACCGATGTTCGGAGCAACATTCCTAACAGCCTCAAAGTAGAAACGTCCTAAGTGTTGGTTGGTGAATGAATAAACAAAAAGGAGTATATCTATACAATGGGATATTACTCAGTCATAGAAAGGGATAAAGTTCTGATCTGTGGTACAATGTGGATGAACCTTCAAAACATTATGGTAAGTGAGTTGCAAGGAATGGTGTGTATTATCTTATTTCATTCATAAAGATGATCCAGAGTAGGCAAATCTATTTGAGATAGAAAGTAGATCTGATGGTGCTGGGGTGTGGCATTGGGGGAAATGGAGATTGACTGCTAATGGGTACAGTGAGAATATCCACTCCAGTATTCTTTTTAGGGTGATGAAAATGTTCTACAGTTGATTGTGCTGGTGGTTGCATTGCTCTGGGAAGATACTAAAAAAACATTGAAGAAATTGTGAAATGGTCTATAAATCGTATCAATAAAGCTGTTAAAATATAAACCACTATGGTGCTTGGGCTCCAAAATGGGCTCACTGCAGATGGTGACTGCAACCTTGAAATTAAAAGACACTTTGGAAGAAAAGCTATGACCAACCTAGGCAGCATATTAAAAAGTAAAGACATTACTCTGCCGACAAAAGTCTGTCTAGTCAAAGCTATGGTTTTTTTCAGTAGTTGTGTATGGATGTGAGAGTTAGGCTATAAAGAAAACTGAGTGCTGAAAAATTGATGCTTTTGAACTGTGATGTTGGAGAAGACTCTTGAGTCCCTTCGACTGCAAGGAGATCAAACCAGTCCATCCTAGAGGAAATCAGCCCTGAATATTCATTGGAAGCTGAAACTCCAATACTTGGGCCACTTTTGGTGAAGAACTGATTCATTGGAAAAGACCCTGATGCTGGGAAAGGTTGAAAGCAGGAGGAGAAAGGGATGACAAAGGATGAGATGGTTGGAGGGCATCACCAACTCAATGGACATGAGTTTGAGCAAGCTCCGGGGGTTGGTGATGGACAGGGGAGCCTGGCATGCTGCAATCCATGGGGTTGCAAAGATTCGGACGCAACTGAACAACCCAACTGAACTGAACTGATGGTGCTTGGGCCCACAATATGTGTTGGTGTGTTGTGTGTGTCCCCAGAGGGTGGGAATGAGGATGGGATGAAGCTGTCTTTGTATGGAGAGTGCTGACTCTGGGTAGTGGGGGAGTGCTGTTGAGAGGAGGGTGAGACTTGGGGGCTCCAACACAATGCTTGTTTCTCCCTCCTGTTCCTGAGCCTCCT